CTGTCCCCCCTCGCCCTCCCCCTGCCTTTCCTTGCACCCAAATGGTGGAGTGATTTAATCTTGGATGGTAGCAGCCTCCCAATCCAAATTAACTTTGGGCTCCTGGTTGGTTTGCAAGAGGAGAAGCAAGTTGGAGGAGGGGAGAGCCATGGGGAGGGCGGGGGGGCAGGGGGGGGGGCTTGAAGAGGCCAAGGTGGGTCCAGTCCCAGCTCCTGCTTGAGGTCCCTGCGGGAGGCTTAGCCTCAAGGAGAGCCTTGCCCTCTGCTGCCCTCTGGTGTTCTCCCTGATGGTGCCTCCTTTCCTCTTGGTCTTCCTTCCCTGGCTTTGCCCCCAAAGCCTCGCGGGGACGATGGGATGAGGATCAAAGCCTCGGCCTGGCCGGCGCCCCAATCTTTCCAAGGGCGCTTTCTCCTCGCTTGCTTTCTCGGCTCCTGCACCGGCGCTCCTCCCTCCCTCCCTGCGCAACATTAACAGCCCATTTCCGGCTCTTGCAGCCCCCCAGGACCTGATGGACGCGCCCGGGAGCGCCCTCCCTTCCATGTGGCAGCCGAGTACCCGCAAGGCCTCCTGCCCTTCCTGCACCCAGGGGGCATCCAGGGAGAACGGCCTGTCGAACGGCTGCAACCACGAAAGGTGAAGGAGGCGAGGCGGCCTTGGGGCGGGGGGCGGGGGGATCCTGGGCACGAAGGGAGCTGAAAAGAAGGGTGGGATGTCACCATCCCCTGCAAGGAGGACGAAGCCCCTCTGCTACTCCCCGAATTGGGCATCCTGGTAACTTTTGCTTTTTTGGGGGGGGGGGGAGCGAGATCGAGAACTGAAGAGGGTTGGCAGGATTGCTCTTCAATCCAGAGTGAGGATGAGCCTGCCCCTCCCCCACCACGAGAACATCTGCCTTTAGGGGATACGTCGGAGGGCCTCTTCTTAAAAAGTGGGGGGGGGCATGGAGGGAGAAGAAACAGCCCAGATTCTACTTGCTCTTCGGTTTGGCCTCTAAGAAGCAGATTCAGGGAAGGGCACGGCCCCCTCCTCTCCCTCCCTCTCTCTCCGCAGAGCCCCCCTGAAGCTCCTGTGTGACAACATGAAGTACCAAATCGTCTCTCGGGCGTTTTACGGCTGTGAGTATTTCCCACCGTGAGACCCTCCAAGGCCCAGCCAGGCCTTCCCTCCCCGTCCCTGAGCAGGGAAAATGGGGATGAACTTGGGGGTCTCTCGGAGGGGAGGGGTCTGCCCTTTGGGGAGCCTCTCTTGCTCCTTCTGCTCCTTCTGTTCCAGGGCTGGCCTACTGCCGACACCTTTCCACCGTCCGGACGCACCTCTCGGCACTGGTCAACCATGCCATTGTGTCTCCCGAGGTGCCCTGCGATGCCAGCTCGGGGCTGACGGTGGAGATCTGGGAGAGGTTCCTCCAGGATGGCACGGTAGAGAGATGCCCCCTTGGGACCCCCCTCCTCTTCCAGCCCTGCGCCCCCCCCTCCAGGCCGTTTCAAGCGCCTTCTCTCCGCAGAGCTACGAGGAGAAGGAGCTGCTTCGGCTGGTCTACTTCGGAGGAATCCAGCATGAGATCCGGAAGTCCGTCTGGCCCTTCCTGCTGGGACATTACCAGTTTGGGATGCTGGAAGCCGAGAGGAAAGAGGTGAGCCGGTTCAAAACGTTTGGGCGTTTGGGCCCCCAATGAAACAAGTGTGCATTCTGCCCCCCCCCCAGCGCCTCCCCCCCCCCCCAGGGATCTTGGGTGCTGGGATTGGGTGGAAGGGCTTCCAAACAGTCTCTTCTTCCGCTGAGCCCTTGTTCCTTTGCTTCTCCATCCGGGGGTCTTTGGGGGCTCCTGCCGTGCTACCCCCCCCTGTCTTTCTTGCTGGCAGGTGGACCTACAGACCCGGGCCCACTACGAGCAAACCATGGCTGAGTGGCTGGGCTGCGAGGCCATCGTCCGGCAGCGGGAGAAGGAGTCCCATGCAGCGGCCCTGGCCAAGTGCTCCTCGGGGGCCAGCCTGGACTCCCACGTGGGGCCCCTGAGGCACCGCGACTCCACCGTCAGCAACGGCGTGAGCATCTCCCGGGGCCTCCCCAGCAAAAGGCTTTCCTTTAAGCCATCGAATGCAGTGGGCAGCTTTGGTCCCCTTCTTTACCCAGCCCGCCTTTGGAAATGGGCCGGGCCAGAAACGGGTGGTGGTAGTTGTGTCCTGTTTAAGCCCCCCCCCCTCTGTCCACGTGGAAGAGCCCGGACGACTGATGCTCCCCCCTTCCCCCCCCCCCTTGCAGTCTTCCCAGAGTAGCAGTTTTGGCCCCCAGAACCTCAGCCGGCTGCAGAGCGACTCCAGCGGCAGCACCCAGGTGAGGAAGGGCCCCCTCCTTGTTGGGGGGAGCCTTTGGGGAGGCTGCCGACCCCACCAGGGCCTCCCTGAGCAACCGAGTGCGCAGCAATGTGGTTGGTGGGCGCTGTTTGTTCTTTGCCAGGTGTTTGAATCGGTGGAGGAGCTGGAGCAGACGGAAGCCGAGTTGAAGCTGGAGGCCGGCAGGCGAGCGGCTCTCCCCAACGGTGGGGTCCCTGAGGCTGGGCCCTGCTCCCCCGACTCCGGCCACCCTTCCTCCCAGAACTTCTCCGTCACCTCGGCCTATTCGGAGCAGAGCTTCAGCACGGAAGAGAGCTGGCCGGAGGCGGGCAAAGCGGGGGCAGCCCAGGCCGCTGGGGAAGGGCCCCCGCCTGCCGTGGACGGCAAGGGAGAGGCGGAAGGGCCCCAGGGGGAGGACTCTGTCGCCAGCACCCTGGATGCCTTGGCCGGGGTGGGCCAGGAGCTGCCCGCAGAAGAGGAGGGGGCCCCCTCTGTGGCCGACCACTGGGCCCTCCCCAGTGCAGAGCAGCCGAGTTCCATGGGGAGCGAAGACGACCTGTCGGAAGAGCCCGAGATGGAGAGCCTCTTCCCGACCCTGGATTCGCACTCGCTGGCCGTCACCGACCTCACCCTGAGCGAAGTCTCCCCCGTCTCTTCCTCAGGGGTGGCCTACTCGGTGAGCTCCCCCTTCTTTCCCTATGCAGAAGAATGGGGCGTTCTCTGCCCTCCCGAAATTTTGGCCCCGTAAGTCGAGGATCCACATGGGGCTTGTGAGAACTGGAATCCTCCGGAGCAAATAGAGATCGGAGGCCGCCTCTCGTCGGCCGCTTTTGGGGGATCCCCAATGGTCCCCCCCGACCTTTGCAGTCCTTTCAATTGGCCTCAATCCCTCGATCTCTGCCCCATAGCCGGAGCTGCTGGACCTCTACACGGTCAACCTGCACCGCATTGAGAAGGACGTCCAGAGGTGTGACCGGAACTACTGGTACTTCTCCCCGGTCAACCTGGAGAAGCTGCGGAACGTCATGTGCAGGTGAGGGTCCCGGCTCCTCCCTGGCGGGGGGGGATGTTCTCTGCTGCAGAGCCTCCCCCTCCCTTTCCCTCCCCCCTCCGTGACCTCCTCACGGCGTCTCCCTCCTTCCTGCAGCTACATCTGGCACCATATTGACGTGGGCTACGTCCAGGGAATGTGCGACTTGCTGGCTCCGCTGCTGGTCATCCTGGATGAGGGTGAGTGGCTCTGTGTCCCTCGGAGGCTGGCCTGGGGGTGGCAGAGCTCCACCTGAGATCCATGGGGGGTGGGGGGGTTGAGAGGCTCCGGTCCACAGCCTTCCTCCAACTGCAGGAGGAGAAATGACTGGAAAGGAAGGACTTTTGGGCCCTTGGAGTGGGGAGGGGAGGGCCTGGGGCTGGCAGAGGGCCACCGCTCTGGCACCTGGGTGGCTGGAGATGGGGCTGGGGGCTCTGGGCAGTGGGAGGGCGGTCCTGGACATGGTTCCTTTCCGCCCCTCCGGCAGAAGCCCTGGCCTTCAGCTGCTTCACAGAGCTGATGAAGAGAATGAACCAGAACTTCCCCCATGGAGGAGCCATGGACACCCACTTTGCCAACATGCGGTCCCTCATCCAGGTACGGAGGGGCAGCCGGCCAATCCCCATGCCGGGTCCCTCGTGGCCTGCCTGGCCTGGCTTTCGGAGGGGGGGGGGGGGGCTGTTCCTCTCAAACAGGCAGACATTCAACAGGAAAGGCTTTCTGGTGGGACGGGGGAGAGGAGGGAAGGGGCTCCCAGTGGGGGAGTCTGTGGGGAGGCGGCTGAACTGGGCCCTCCTGGAAGCAGCGTTGGGCCAGAGGGTGCTGCGGCCTGGCTGTCCT